CTGTCCTGCAGAGTTTAGCTCTAACCCTAATCAAACACACCTGAACAAGCTAATCAAGGTCTTCAGGATTACTGAGGCTACAGACAAGTGAGGTTTTTTTTCAGGGTTGGAGCTAAACTCTGCAGAACATCGGCACTCCAGGACCGACGTTGCCTACCCCTGAACGATATGAAATGATGTAAAGGCCCCATATCTTGAATTTTGTGATGCATTTTAATAGACTGAATCATGCCGTTAAAGAACGCACTCTAAATGCGCGCGCGCACTAATCTAACCTAATAGACTTCACGTCATGTATGCGGGCACTCTCTGTTAGGTGTGTTTCATTTGGATTTGATTTTGCAATATACTTGATAATGTCAAACCGCACATCGTAAAACAACAATTACGAAATGTGTAGATTCGGTGGCGAACGCTGTTACCTGCAAACTCCGTCCCACAGGCTTTACAGAGAACGCAGTGCATAGAACCATTTTCATAGCGGAGCCACTAGAAGTCTTTCAACCACTCTCTCCGAAAACTGTACGCCTTCTATTCGGCTGGTGGATCAACATTCACCACATGATCGCTATCACCAGCACCATTTATTTGTAACTTTAGGTGGTTCACAAAATAAATCTATCCGTGTTTCTTTTTTTATTTTCTCTCTTCTTCAGCCCTTTACATTCCCCGCGGTAGTTAGCTCCCTGTCACCTGACAGCGGAAAGCAGTGACTGGGTGATTGACAGCTAATATTAACCAATCTAAAATCTGCATTAAAGTTAAGAATGTAAAGATGAAGTTTAATTGGTTATGTAGCCTAACGTTTCATAGAACGGCAGACAGGTGACTGTATCAGCACTTAGAAGGCACATACTCTGAACGTTTTTAGAGAAATTAAAAGGTCGCACGACAACAATTATATGCACTCGCACAAATGCTCCCAAATATATTTTGAGGTCGCACAGATTAAATTTCGGGAGCAATATGCGACCAAAATGGTCGCAATTTCGAGCCTTGTAACTGTAGCAATAAGTAACTTTAAAAGCACAGTAAATGAATAGCACAAATAAATAACGTCATCACAATAATCCAAAATTAATTAATGAGCTATAAAGACAATGCCTATGTAATTGTGCAACACACATACACAGTGCATGTCTGAGATTTTACTTTTAAATCCATTGACTCAAATATTTGTCAAGGAATCTTCAAATATTTGAGACCACTTTTACAGATCATTTCCAGAGGTCAGGAAAGGAGAACTGCTTTCATATACAAGAAGATATCACGTCATTATCATGGGACCCAAGAGACAAGCAATAAAAGAAAGGGTGGGAGGCAAAGGAGAAAAGACATGAAAATAAAATCTCGGCTCTGGTGACAGCTTAGGTTTCTTGTATTATGAACAGTGTTTTATCCTGTGTATTTAAACAGTTGTTTACCTGAAGAAGGAATAATTCATCAAAACTAAACCTGATTTAAAAGTATAATTAAAATACTAAATTCACACTTAGAAATACAAAGCATAATACAAATAAATCTTGCTGCTCTTCTTAAGGTAATGTCTTTAAACTATATCACATGCTGTAACTCATATCCAAAAATCATCTGTGGTTTTGTGAGCCAACCGCAAGCAATAAATTTTTGATTACCCTAAATAAAACCAACCCCCCCTCAATAGGAACCATTTCCATGTATTCATTTATCTCAAGTGGCTTACAAACGAGGAAAAATACAAGCATGAGCAAGTCATCTTAACAAAAAACAAGAGGTTTTGTATGCATTACCACAGAAACAAAAATAGAGCCAGAAAAAGAGAGAAAACAGCCTGTGTAGGAATCCACCAATCACTTGCTCCCCTCCCAAATCCTCCCACACAATCTGTCCCCATTGACTTCCCTCGCTCGTCTGCAGCATGCGGATGCTTTAATCTGACAGATTGCCATGCTGAGGGTTTTCCTCCATCGTCTGTCATCTAGAAGCGCCATGACCAGGAGTCAGACACACACACACACACACACACACACACACACACACCCCGTGCCGCCTATGGGCTAAAATAATCGCAAAAGTAGCCTGTGCGTGTGTTTAAGAATGTGAAACAGGATAAAGCCAATGAACATTGAGTGTGGGAGGACTGATATGACACACAGAGCTTTAAAATAGATAACTGATAGCAAGATTACTGGCATGCCAGACATGTAGACTTACAGACACTGAAAATGTTGCACTCAGGAAAGGCAATATCATTTAACAAGCACAAGCAAACATGTTTTCAAGCTCAAAAGCTATTAACAATGGTCATCAAGGTCATGACGTCCACCAGCAGCCGCAACTGAGTGAAGTCCCTTGGCGACCCCCACAACAGTCCCACAGTTTACACACATACTGGAACACAGGTTTGTGAGCATTGAGATGTTTTGTCAAATTTCTGTCTTCAAAGAATTGCTGATGTCAAACATATGAAAGCATCAGCATGAATCTGGACAAAATGATCATGGTTTTTGAAATATACTAAAGGGACTAAAAGAGAGCATGACTCTTCCACTGTACAAAGAATTAAAGTCTAGAAACCTGGTGGGCAGACAAAAGCCTCTTGTTCGGCAACTGCTCCCTACAGCAAAGGGATTAAGCTTTGAGAACTCAGGATTGAGTTCAGCCGTACCATCACATCTTCTCATGTTTAAAGTAGACCTAATGGAGAACCAGACAGGTGCACTGAGATGCAGCCTCCACTCATTTTGAAAGGCAGAATTTAAATCACACAAGCTGTAGTTAGGATGTGAATTTATTCTAAGCTTTTATTATTTAAATAATATTTTTTATTCCACTATATAGACAATGCAGCAGAACAGAATTGATCTCTCCACTGTAATAAAGAGATAAATTGGATGATAATGCCTCCAAGGCAAGAGCAGTCAGGTCCCTCAATAATGTCCCTTGAGACTCTCACACCTATTAACCTTTAAAATAAGAGATGTAACTACTCTTTTCTCTCTGTTCCCTCTCCTTCTAGTGATGGATGTTATTGCCAATTGGATGGGCAGCCCGTGTAGACCACTGGGTCCAGACCTCAAAGATGGAGTGTGTCTGTGCCATGAAATCATTACTGGCTACATTCACACAGACTGAGTTTGGACTGACAGATCAATGGATTGAAGTCTCATCACAACTGGCACAACAATATTTGAATGTCTAATATTTAGGTGCATGGATCAGCAGCTTAAGTGGACTATATCATTAATTAAATATGCATTACCATTCACAATTTTCAGGTCACAATTTTTTCATTAAAGCTGCAGTCCGAAACTTTTGGCACTCTAGCGGTAAATAAACAGAACTGCGTGAGTCTTGCGGAAGAACATTGTAGCCGGAGCTACTTCTCTCTGTTTATGTCTGTGACGAATCACGCA